CAATCGGAGCCGAGTTTGTATTGGTCTCGCCACAACACAGTGGCATTTTTAGTGATGCCGCTGTTACAACCATCCCAATCAATCAAGCGTATTTGGATCGCCTGCCCGACGTTGACTACGTTGATCTACCCAAGGCCAAGCCTTCGAACGCCGTCTATGTCTGCTTTACTTCGGGAAGCACCGGTCGGCCCAAGGGAATTGTGGTCGAGCATGGCAATCTGCGCATGAGCGCACAAGCACATGGTGCACAATTCAAGGTCAATCCTGGCACCAGGGTGTTCCAGTTCTCGGCTTATACTTTCGATATCGGTCTCGGCGATATTTTCATCTCGCTCCAACGCGGAGCCACCATCTGCACGCCATCTGAGTGGGAGAGATTGAACGAGCTTCCTGGCGCCATCACCAAATATAAGGCGAACTTCATGTCGGTCACTCCATCTGTTGCCAAGCTCCTCCGCCCAGAAGCCGTTCCAACACTGCGCACCCTCGTTCTCGGTGGTGAGGCACCCACTCAGGACAATGTCCAAACCTGGTCGGATAAACTGAACCTGATCATTATTTGGGGTCCAGCCGAGACCACCATCTATGCATCTGCGACGCCCCCGACAACCCGGGAAACTAGTGCACAAGGCCTCGGAAACCCTATGGGTAGTGTGATGTGGCTCTGCGATCCAGACAATCACGACAGACTAGTACCCCTTGGTTGCGTTGGTGAGATTGTTGTCGAGGGTCCCCTCGTCTCGCGTGGATATCTCAAGGACGACGTAAAGACGGCAGCCGCGTACATCGAGGATCCAGCCTGGGCGAAGAGGTTGGACAAGAGTGCCTCGCCTCGCAGGATGTACAAAACCGGAGACTTGGCACGCTACGACGCCAATGGCTACATGTTATTCTCCGGTCGGAAAGATAACCAAGTGAAGCTCCACGGTCAAAGAATGGAGCTGGACGAAGTGGAACACGGCATGTTGAGACACGAAAGGGTGCGTCAGGCTGTTGCCCGCATTCCTCGCCACGGGCCGCTCAAGGACAAACTTGTGGCCATGCTGAGTCTCCATGATGTCTCGTCGGCCAGCTCGCCCGTTGCCAATAAAATCATCGTGCTGGATGAAGCCTCTCATGGTGTTAAGGTTGGAACGGAACTTGCTTCCGTGCGTGCGTTGCTGCAACAAAACGTCCCAAGCTACATGGTGCCAACGATCTGGATTGGTGTCGAGGCCGTTCCATTGAGTGCCAACTCGAAGGTGGATCGGAAGTCCGTGGACGCGTGGTTGGAAGAGATGGATCAAGAAACCTATGCCTCCTTGCTACGCGAGGGAGGTAGTGACAAGAAGGAAGAAGAGATCCGCCGCCCATCCACCCCGGTGGAGCAGATCCTGTGCAACCTCATCAGCAAGATCCTCGGCTTGAACGCGGAGACACTCAACCTCAACTCCTCGTTCCTGGCCCTTGGTGGCGACTCCGTCGCCGCCATGCAGCTGCGTAGCAAGTCTCGCGCCGATGGAGTCACAGTCTCCATGCTGGACATTATCAGGTGCAAGAGCCTGGTGGAGCTTGCAGCGAAAGCGGAATATACTGAGCCAGCCGTAAAGAAGGTCCAAGACGGCTTTTTCGAACTCTCACCAATCCAGCAAATGTACTTTGATTTAGTGGGATCTGCCGCGGATGCAAACATTGGTCATTTCGACCAAAGCATTCTTCTGGAAGTCAACAACTCCGTGCCTCCTCAAGCATTGCGACAGGCGCTGGTGCAGGTCGTTCGGCGGCACTCGATGCTCCGCGCCCGGTATTCTCGAAATGATGCCGGCCAATGGTATCAGTACCTTGCTGAAGACTCAGCAAATTCATTCCATTTTAGCGTCGAAGACGTGGAAGATGGTTATCAAGTTTCCAACATACTCAGAAACATGGGCGGTGTGTTTAACATCGAAAAGGGCCCAGTCTTCGCTGCCCGCGTATACAATCTTCGTGCAGAGCGCAAGCAGTTGATGTTCGTCCATGCTCACCATTTGGTGGTGGATGTGGTTTCATGGCACGTTCTGCTGGGCGACCTGGAGCTAGCCATTGCCACTGGCAGCTTGGCCGGCCCAGCTCCGCTCTCTTTCCAGAGTTGGTTACGTTCTCAGAAGGAGATGGCACAGTCTCTCGAGCCGAGAGATTTGCTACCGTTCGCAAACACCAGCATGCCAGTGGCCAACTTTGAGTACTGGGGAATGGGTGGCAAGAAGTCTAACAGATACTGCGACGCCGTCGTGACTGATTTCTGGCTCGACGAGACCCTAACAAACCAGTTAATGAGTGTCAGCAAGGGGGCTTCAGGCGCTGCCCCTGTCGACATTATTCTGGCTTCTCTTCTCCACTCCTTCGCGGCTGTCTTCCCAGACCGCGCCGCACCACCAGTCTTCTCCGAGGGCCACGGTCGCGAATCATGGAACAGCCAAATCGATCCTTCCGGCACAGTGGGCTGGTTCACGACTATGAGCCCACTGCATGTGTCTGATCTCCAGTCGGATATCATCACTACTGCGCAGTCCGTCAAGGATCTGCGCCGCCGCCTATCCGCCAACGGAATGTCCTATTTCAGCTCCAGATACCTGTCTGACAAGGGACGCAAAGCCTTTGGGTCGCATTTCGACATGGAAATCATGTTTAACTACCTTGGCCGCTCCTCTGAAGTTGGGTCGGAGAACGCCCTTCTCTCACATGCTGAGCTTCCAGACGGCGCGACTTTCGACCAGTTGGTCCAAGATGAAAAGCTTCCTCGCTGGTCTCTTTTCGACATCGTGGCTCTTGTTGTGGGTGGTAAAACTCACGTCACCATGGCCTATAACAAGCAGATGCAACACCAAGACAGAATTGTTGAGTGGGCAGCCAAGACACAGTCAACGCTTAGCCTTGCCATTGAGGTTCTCAGTGGTGTGAGAAGCCTGCCTCCCACTCCCACTCCCACACGCACCCCCCCTACCCCTACGCCTACCCCTACCCCCAAACCCTCACCCGTGCAGCACCATCCTCAGGATCAATGCATCACCCTCGACAACATTGAAGGAATTTACCCCTGTGCCCCAGTGCAGCGACACATGCTCGCAGAGCGCGAAAAGTATCCCAACCGCCGCCTATACGAGATGGACTTCACCTACCACACCCATACAATCAACGGTGTCGTCGACGTGGACAGAGTCCGCGACGCATGGCACCAGGTTGTGCAACGTCATCCCGCACTTCGCACGGTATTCCTGCCCAGCATGTCTTCACCGGGCTCATACGACCAAATTGTGATCCGAAATTGGTACCCTGAGGTCCCCGTGATCGAGTGCGCCAGCGAAGATGAGATGACGGCTCGAATGGACGCCTATCGATCAGTCAACTACAGCCTGTCGAACAGAAAGCCACACCATCAGCTCACCTTGTTCCGTACAACCACAAAGGACGGGGTGAAAAAGGTCGCCTTCAAAACCGAAACAGACCACACCCTTACGGACGGCGTTTCTGTCGCTCTGATCCTCCGTGACCTGATGCAGGCATACGAGGGCAAGCTTCCCACCACCACAGCCCCGTCTTTCGGCAACTACTCGGTCTGGCTGCGCAGCATGAGCCAGGGCGAAACACTAGTCAAGGACATGGAATACTGGCTAGAGTTCTCAAAGAGCGCGGGAGCATCGCTTATCCCTCATACCGATGCCTCATGCCTTGTGCCCTCGCAGCCCCGGGTCCACAAGACAAAGACCATCAACCTCGATTCGGAGACCACCAGCCGACTACCCGCCTTCTGCGTGCAGCATGGTGTCACGATGGCAGCCTTCCTTCAAACCGCCTGGGGAATGGTGCTACAGCACCTCACCGGATCGAATAAGACCCTGTTCTCCTTCATGACAGCCAACAGAGACGCACCTTTCACCGGCGCAGCAGAGACAGTTGGTCCGCTCATTCAAATGCTTTTGTGTCGGATCGATCTCAGCAACAAAGCCATCGGTGATGTGTTGAGGCAGGCACGCGACGATTTCCTGGAGTCGCTTGAGCATCAGTACGGGCTGGCACAGATGGAAGACGTCTGGCAGACCCCGGCGTGGAATTCCCTCATGAGTTTACAGTACATGGACTCGAGGGTGGGTCAGAAGGCAACCGAGCGGACTGAACTCGAGGTTGAGCTTCGTTCGGCAGAGGATCCTACTGCGTGGGACGTGTCGATCGGGTTGCAGATCCATAGCCGGGGAGACGGTGTTACAGAGGTGGATGCGGAGCTTGGTTACTGGTCTGATGTTCTCACGGATGAGCGGGCGGGATATGTGAAGGATTTGTTTGAAGCTTCTGTGAAGAAGATGCTTGATGCATATTGATCGATTTGGGGTTTTTAAATTGTTCACTCGCTGATGTCAACAGGCGGGACCTGTTATTTCCCTTTTGTGTGAAATTTTGAAGCTGTACAAGGCTGGACCTTGATATGCAACACCTGTCAGAGTGACTAGTGCGTCACATTTCCTTATGTCTATATTTATCTGTCCCTTTATTTGTGTCAACAATTTTTCTTATTCTGTTTCTTGTGAAATTGGAGTTGCATATACCAGAATTTGTCCTACATCGAAGATCCTGCCTGCTTGCCTCTATTCGTAGAAGTGGTCTATACGATTTCCGATCATACGTTTACCTTCAACCATGACATAATGCTTGGTTTCCGTTCCTAAAATCATATTTATCTTCTCGGAGCTTAATTGTAACCGGTACCAGATATATCAGTAGAGCTAAAACATAATATGATACCCGGCGATGGATATCTTGTCGACACAAGTATTATATATCCATTGATTAATACCAGCCACTGCAGTTCACAGCATAATCTAACATCCAATGAGACAGATTATATGAAGCTTATACACTATGTGCAATTGCATACTCCATCAGACTGGAAAAGGTGCCATCGGGGCCATGAAAGAATGCATTGCTGGACACCGACAAAGCTCCGATCATGGGACAGCATGTTCATATTCGCAGAATTTGCTACCCCATTATTTACCCAGATAGTCTTTAAGGGTATCTCTGACGGCCGTATCCAGGTTTCTGAATCCTGTGCCCCATATTTCTTGCAATAATTCCTCCGCTCGTTTAGCTGGCTGGATCTCAGATTCATTGTTCAGCAGCCCAGGAGCCTTAGGTGCCAGCTCCCGCTTCGGAAATAGCTTTTGCAGAATAGCTAGGATGTCATTGCGATTGAACGGTCCGGCGAAGGCGAACAACCTTTCGTTTACCACTTCGGGCCGAATCAATGCGGCAACGTGAAGCCGCGCAACGTCTTCTACATGGACAAAAAAGTCTCTGAATGTCAGCTAATGGCGCGATAATGCTCGCGAGGAATATAACTCACAGGGAGGGAAATGATTAATGAAAGCGGCCATTGCAGCTGTATCATTCTCCAACATAGTAACAGGGATCGCAGACGTGGACGGGTAGCCTTGATCCTTCGTGCTCAAAGGTTTTCCGAGTACCACCGGCGGAATAACTTATATGAATCAGCAGTGCGCCTTCATATCGCATCGGGGATTTCATGGGATTGTACCAGAATTTGCTACAAAATGTGGCTTTTCGCGAGCAACCCAGGACCACATCTCCTTTTCACCCAAAACTTTGCTCGCAGCGTACACATCCGTGCTCCGACTCTCCAAATAGGGAGGTGGAGCCCAAGCCCGCTCGACGGCCCTGTCGTTCCACATGTCAACGGTGACAGTCTCTTTCAGTAAGGTTGGTTCCAAGACGGCAATAGCTGATGACGTGAGAACAAAACGTCTCATGCTCTCCTCTCGGGCAGCAGACTGGAGTATTCCCCTGATTCCAGCTAGGACCGGAGGAATAGCCAGGTTTGGGTCTGGCCCTGCCTGTAATATGGCTGCGACATGCACGATCCCACTGGCGCCTGCAAGGGTCAGAGTGAAATCAGCGAAATTGATCTAGTCACTCACCTTTCACGGCCTGATCATAGGCGCCGTCTCTAGCCATATCCTCGACCATAGCCAGTTCGAACTTCCCTTTTCCGTACTTTTCTTCAAACAGCTTCAAAAGCCATTGACATCTTGTTATGTTTCGCACAGTACCCCGAACCATATATCCCTGCTGCAGCAGTTTCTCGGCCACATGGGATCCCACGTATCCATTTACACCGGTGACGACAACCAGACACCCGGCTGGAAGGACTGGACTGAACATGATGTGCTTAATATCGCTTATTGTGATAAACTTGCTTTTGCACTTTGCTCGAATGTAATCCAAAAGAGAGAGAGAGAGACGCAGTGTTTGTCCAAAGAGTGATTCGACTGAAATATTCAGGGTTGACGATATTTATACTTCGATTCCAGGCGCTTCGGAACCGGCATCGAGTTCCCCTGAGGACCGCTGAAATGGGAGTGGTCCCACAGAGTTACCAGACTCCTGTATCCACTACACTGGTTGTTACAAAAAACGCTAACTCCCAGACAATACACTACAGAGATTAGGGTAGTTAACTAACAAGATGTAGTTAGCCTATAACGTGAAGTGTACATACTATTTCCCTGCAGTTAGATACTGGACTGAATAGATTGAATGAAGCGCACGTAAATTATATAGTTGGCCAACCAGACACGTGTGTATCACACCTCTACCGGTATCATGTCCATCAGTATAATATCTTACAGTGGTTAGAGACTTGACCACTATAGTCAACAAGTCGATTTTCGATGGTGATTTATGTAACGGGGAATGTGGATTTCAGCAGGCAGGGTAAGGGGCGGTTTCGATGGAGTAGTAGTCCCGAGTGTGACACTTGCTATACAAATCAGAGTACTGAATACTAAAATTTGAGTAGCGCTAGCGCAGCCGTTCACTTCTTTTAGCTATTGTTGGACAAATGCTGCTTCATGTGAACCCTAGAAAATGAGACACATAGTAATACATGTTGAAATATACATTAGCCTGAAATTTTTGTACGATGTTTCCTTTACTCGGAACGGGAACAGCTACGTTCCGAAAGTACACTAACTGCAAGAAACTAGAAGGATGGTATCACAATCCGGGAAACTTCTCCACTGGAGGATAATTCCAGCAAGCGCAATCTCACGAGGAGGGAGCTGATGCTGTAAAGTGGAGCCTTCCAGCAAAGGTAAAGTACATCTACTAAACCTAACTCAGTCAACGATTGCGCTAGCGCCGACGGGATTCGCAGAGCGGTGGAGCATAACTACTAACTAGTTAGTAATCAGAGAATTATGTAAGTACCTACCTTCAGAAAGGCGGTATACAGGGGGGCCATTTAGACACCTGCAGCTTCACCGTCTCGAAATTCTCGTAACGCTCATCATTTCCCCGCTTCCACAAGACCGATGCAAAGTTCCCGAAGCTGGCTTGCTAGAGCACCCACAGAAATTCGTAGCTACTAGCGGAATGGACCGCCTGCCTGGTTCATCCTGAGTCATGTACGGCCCTACTCCGCCTCGACCTAAGAAAACCAACATCACCCGAAGCCGGAATGGCTGCATTCCCTGCAGGAGGAAAAAGCGAAAGGTGAATCTCCTGTGCGTGTAGTTTGAACTCTCATTGGCGTTGCTAAGCTTCCCTACAGTGTGACGAAGGCAACCCAAGCTGCGGGCTCTGTTCGCGGCTGAAAATTCCTTGTTCTTACCCAAGATTCTTGATTCGATTCCAAGAAACGCCAAATGACTCGGAACGAACGAGAAAGGTCGCTGACAATGGTGACCTTTTGATGGAGGTCACCCGCATGGGAAGCCCTCTGCGTACACACCATAATCCAACGTTCAGCAATAGAGGCATTCAGCCTGAGTATGTGATGAGTGGGTCAGATCAACTTTATCTTAATCAGTACTTCGCACATACCGTCGACTTACTGCCAGCCAGCGTGCGTCCTATTGTTTGGAGGATGTCAACTCTACCGGCTCTATATAATGCAACTCTAGCATTCTCTGCTGCTCGATTTGCGTATTCATTAGGTACTCCTTACCTCACACAAACGAAGACACTCATCCGGCCAAATCGACACTTCTTCATCCAGTCACTGAATTACTTCAGTCGGGCAATTCAACTGTTACAGCAGAATTCCAGCCAACTAGATGATATCTTTGCTACCATCGTCTTTCTCATCCTCTTTGAAAATGTGGTTGGGACCGTCCACAGTTATTACAGTCACCTCCAGGGACTTCAAACTCTTACTCTTTGCTACCATCAAGCGTTATCGGCAACGCCTTATGGCCAACGGCTGCTGCGAGCGAGCCTTTTTACCATTGCAAAAGGTGCTCTTTTTCTCGGCCCGCTGCATTCTCCACGCAGGGGAGATATTGTTCCCCACGACATCGACATACTGGCAGAGCGGATTTGTTCACACCAAGAAATTTTGTTCTTCAAGGTCGTGGACGCTGTCAACATCTCGTTCAGTTTGCTCCTTGGAGAGTTCTTATGGTGTTCCTCTGGTAAGCTACAGCGGGTGCTACAGAGAATTTCTGGAAACGACAACCCTCATCTCCCGGTAAGCTCGGCGTCGGAGGCTTATGAGAAGCTCACGAGTCTGCGGAGGGGTATCGACGTCCTTTTCGCTCAATCGACCCCTCTTTACAATGCTTTCGCTGAGTGCACGAAACACCCAGTTTTCCATGAGATGGAGTTTAGTTATACACATGACAACATCCCGCCGATTACTCTCTCAGGTCATGAGGAAGCAATGGCCTGCTCAATGTACGCGCTAACTCAGGTCTACTGTGACAGGCAGCTGCTTCAATCATTACTCGACGGAGCGACCGGACAAGTCAATCCAACATTAAACGGATGGGCCAAGATCATTCTGGGAATCGCAAAGGGATGTGATCCACCGCGCTACCTATACGAGGAGATGTATAATATGAACATGTGCTGGATTCTCGTGCTATTGTGCCTGCGCTGGCCTAACCCTGATATCTTGGCCTACATCGCACATACCGTTTTACCATGTTTGAAAAAAACCACTCCCGCAAAAGAAGATACTGCAGGGGCTTTGCTGCTCTTTGAAGTGGTCATAGAAATGCTATGTTCCGAGAATGCGCGAGGTCGTAAGGTCTTCGCTGTACATGTTGTCCACGAAGATCCATCTGATTCTACTGCATTCCTCCTGGTCAATCGCTCCTTACGTCTTGCGATTCATGGATACAGTATTGATGGGAACTTTTTCAGCGACTACATTCCTGCTCTACATTAGGACAACGGGACAGGTGCGAATCTACCGTGGTTTCTACTATATATTAGCCGCGTCGCTGAGGGAGATAATGAAGTGGATAAAGTGTTAAGGATTTCCACGATCGAACGTTACGTATCCTCTACACAAGATAAAGATGCTGTGAAAATTCATATGTTCTGTGCACCCAACCTGGAGGATGGCAAACACTGAGCGAAAACATTCATTCATTGCATACTTTATACTAAGCCACCGTAATATTGTGCGACTGAGAGCAGCCTCATCCGATTACTTGCATGGGTGGTATCCACCAGGCTATAATCAAGCCACGTCCTAGCAGATTCTCTGGAAATTTAGTGGGTGAACACTAGTGAATCCCTGCTGTTTTATGTTTTTCATTTTTGTTTTGTTGAATGAATTATGCATTATTTGATAGTGCGCGGAGTGAAAGAAGAAATGAAGGGTGCTAAAAAAAACGCATCGCTGGAGGAAGGGAATCAACAATAATGAGCGGAAATATATATCACATCATGAAAACACACCCTGTTCTCACGTCCCCGGTATAAAGCTCCTCGTATGCCCATTCCTGAGCATCTTTGCCATACCAAGGGCCTGCTGGATCCCCGTCGTATTCCCAATGTGCTCCAAAGTCTGGATTATCCATTCCTTCGTGGCGGGATCTGAACTCGCGCAGTCGCCCGCCACAAACAAAGGCCATAGCAGGCGAACCACGGCTGTGAATGTCACCTCCCCAGATACAAAGTGGTATGGAACACTAGCGCAGATATCGTCCGTCATTTGCTTAATAGTGTCTATCGAGTCGAACACCATCTGTTGGCATTCTGATGTCCCTTGTAGACCCCAGAGACGGAGGGCCATTGATCTGATCATCTCGTGTAATATGATTCGGGTTTGGCGATAGTGATTCCACATTGAGACTACCCCGACGGCCTTGTATACGTGGTAAGTGTCGCTGTGAAGAGGGATTTGCGGGCGAGATTTAGGGTTACTGTGTATGTCAACAACGGAGTATTGCCAATGCGGACCGAGTGACATGGCCCAGGACCGCAGGTCAGTGTCAAGGTGGAGGGCGTTGCTAATTAGCACGCTCAGAGTGTCGATGGAATCGTCAGCCAATGCTGTGTTATCCACTTCGATAGAGAGGTCGTGTAGCTGAATCAGTATGTCGCAGAATGTCTCCATTGGCTGTGGATTCTTGTCCTTATTGGCTCCTGCTACGTTCGTGAGGGCTGCTATCTTCGGTGAATTGTACCTCTGGGATCTCCTGAAAATGCTGCTAATTGCCTGATATAGGTGAGAGGCAGCACGCATACAATAATTGTGATGAGACTTACATTCTGCAAGCGCACCAGTCTGAACAACTCAAGTCCCGTTGATGAGTTCAACTGCTCCATCCCACGTAGTTCAACAAGCTTTGTGGCTCCGCGAACATGCTGCGACCAGCCCCGCATTGGACTCGGGAATGTGTTCAACTAGCACCTGCATTAGAAAGCTGAGCCGCGAACCAGTGGAGCTGATCTAATCTTACCTCATACATGCCGAGTAATATAACAGCCCCGAGAGTGGAGTCGGATTTGGCCGATGATGGGTCTCGTAGTGCGTTGTTAGTGGCAATCAGGGCTTTCCCATACTGTTCCCCTGCTGCACGCTTTAGTTCGGGAAGTCGATTGATTCTCGCCATGCTCTCTAGCCCTGCAGCTTTGATCGTGGCTTGGAGTGCAGGGGACGGGTCGGTGCTTAGCAGGTGGGGCAGGTAGGAGAGGAGACCCTGGACTCGCGTTGTACCGACGTAGTAAGTGAAGATATGCGACATGACCTGGTCGTCGATCGTGGTTGGCGCAGGGAGTATAGAGGCTGGGGAAGGAGACTTTGACGAAGAAGGCGACTTGCGTTGCTTTCGGGCGATCGTCCCTCGACCTTCTACTTTCACTGTAATCTCGTCGGTTTGGTCGCAGATTCTTAGAACGTTGGGATCGCGATACCCTGAGCACTCCTGGTTGACCCTCAGGCATTGTGTACACGACGGGCGTCGTCGATCGCACTGTTTTGTCAGTACTCCATGATCATCAAGAGCCTCGAGGCGCACCACGTACGATTAGTCGCCGTGTCCTGCATAAGGCACACCCCAGACCTGGCTTCCCCCGGTACACCATGATAATAGGGCTATGTGTGGATAGTCACTTCCCAGAAAGGTAACCAGTTCGGATGCCAGAGTTTGAAGACGCTTGGCTTCTAGCAAGTGGGACTTGGCTGCCTTTAAAGCCGACCAAGCACGTCGGGCATACGCTAGAAGTAAGCACTAGTTGCCGTGGATGTGGGGGGCCAGGATGCCATTGGGTCGAGTTTCCGAAACTTTATATTCTCCCACTTGCTCAGCCCGAAACCCAGCCACGGGTTGCAGAATATAGAACAATTCTGCGGTGATACCTGTAGCTGCAGATGATCGCGAGGCTGAATACTGCATCCTCCCGATCAATATGCCATTATAGGTTAAGTCAGTCGTTTGTATAGCCTCAGTTCGAAGCGTATATAAATTCCTGTCTTCTCCGTCAAAATGCTGCATGGAAGCATACATCAAGCGACCCTTCTATTACTCTTTTCTTTCCATCTAGGATTATATCTTATATTGTGACATTTACCATTCACAAAATGAACGGAATATTTGCAGCTGACCTTGCGGCCTATCTGATCCTCTCGCCGATCGTTGTTTACAATTTCATAACTCACCGATGGACCGGGTTTTTAGCCTGGTACTCCCTGACCATGTTCTGTTCCGCTCGAGTCATTGGAGGTGCTCTAGGAGTTCGCGACACCAGCAGCATGACAGCAAACATAATCCAGAGTGTGGGAGTCACGCCTCTAATTCTATGCGTTGACGGATTGGTTCATGAAGCGTACGTATATGGCTCGAGATATGCTAGATCTCGTACTAAATAACGACAGTCGAACGTATCGCTATCCCTACGCTAGTCGCCGCCTCAACTGGTCCGTTGTGATCGGGACATCAGTCACTATGGTGGTAGCTATAAGTCTCTCCATCAAGGCCTGTCTGGATATTTTCGAGAACAAAGCACAATCCGACGATTATTCATTATGGAAGGCTGGGTCAGCCCTAGTTGTTGTAGTTTGGATCTTCCAGATTGGGTGGTCGATTTATTCCCTGCAATTCCATGATAAAGGTATTCAAGGTCCGGGATATCAAGGTGGCACTGGGGTAAGAATTTCATATTTGCTAGCAGGAAATGGGCTGACTGACATGTCGTTGTGTAGCTCCTTCAGGGTGCGCTGGTTGCACTGGCATTTATCGGTGTCCGTGTCATCTACGCACTTGTTGCTGTTTGCACCGAGAGCAAAGATCTTAGTCCGGTCTATGGGCTAAAGTCTGTACGCGTTATTCTCATGTTTCTTCCGGAGTTATTTGCGACCGTAACCATAATAGTCGTTGGTGTCCGCACCCGGCGTCTCCGCGAACTGAAAGATGAAACGGACTATGGAAAGCTTGATGTCGTCCAGCCAACTTCGATTGGCATTGCGGCTTAGCAGCGGATGCCTTTCCCCGATTTTTTTTGTGAATAGATCTTGATTTCTTTTTCTACGGCGTCGCATACATCTCTTTTCCTCTGTTTCTCTTTCACTTCTCGATAGAATATGTTAGCATTCGGAATTCAGATACCATTTTGCAGCTTTTACTCTTCTCAAATCCAACAACGTCAAGTCAATATCCCCTCCCAAAGTGATCAATCATAGGTCAGTTCGCGTAGCTCTCACTCAGCCTCTGACGCTGCGGCGTATCCGGTGTCTGCATCTGAATGGTGGAGCGCTGATGAATTTAACCAAATGCAGACCGCTGTAGACTGTCCTTACGGGTCATGACCCACACTAAAGCAGAGTTAAACCACCCCACTCGTTATGCTCATATGGTAACGTCTATTGTTGGATGAAGCTGGATCTTTGATTGGTGCGGCAGCAAATTGGGCGGCACAGCGATCAGGGATGAGAAACGTAGCTCTACCCTCGTGGGCAGCAGCATTACTGCAAGTGGTGGCTGCGTTGACTTGAGAGTGTTCAACGATGGGGAAGAAAGGGAGGAAACGTGGCCCGCGCCGATCGTTGACCACCGCTCAGCCTCCGAGCTGGTTGCCTGATTAGGTTTAGTGTGGAGACCGACAATTTGGCCCCTTCATCATGTTGAAAAATGGATATGTCAGAATGTAGCATTCAATCAAGCTCATCTTCACCGATCTTGTTACTTATTAGGGTTAGCGTGCATGAGTCAGGGCATCCAAGTGCTCGGCTGTCGTCCTCTAAGGTCTAAATCTCGGCTGGTGTGGGACACTTCGCCCCCAAATCCACTTTTGAGTCTTGAGGCTTTTAGGCCTGGGGTTATTGTTATCCCCACCATGGGTTATATTGCCATTCCTAAATGGGTGTACCAGATCGGTGGGATGGGGCTCAGCTTTACAGTCAGTTCAGCCTTGGGTAGCTGTGATTTTGAGTGCACCTGGGAAGCTTAAATATCGATCATTCCCAAGAACATTCAGACCTGTTCTCCATCCTCGATTACACACTATCTATTCATCTACGAAGGTCTCATTTGATTCTTACAAAGTAATCATGAAGACCTCCGCACTACTCGGCTCGGTTGCCTTGGCCTTCCTGCCTTGTAAGTCCTTTGCGCATTCCTCTCGCTTTATTGACATCACGATGAAACTCGATTCAAATGACTAATTAACATTGCGTCCTATAGCCACATCAGCTGCTCCATCCCAAATAAATAGTCGCCGAGCTCGAGCGGACATCAGCATTGAGCGGCGGGCCTCGTCAAATGCCACAAACCCTTATGCTCCGGTCCATGTTTCCTGTCCGGCAACTCGGCCTAGCATTCGTGGCGCTGCAACACTCTCTCCCGAGGAAGTTTCCTGGCTAGATACCCGACGTGAAAAGTCTCTATCAGGGCTGAAAGAATTCTTCGGTCATGTTGAGATAGATTGCTTCGACGCTTT